AAAGGTGTTCTATGAACAAGTTTCAGACTTTTTATATATTATAGCACAAACATACATTATAACAATAAGTTTATAATAATTATAATTGATTATTATATTTATTATTATAATTTATAAAATATATTCATGTGGTAGAGTATAAGTAAAAATAATAAAAATTATGATAAATCTCTGAATCTTCCAGGCTCCCATTCTGGCCTCCCAACAACCCAGATTTAAATCTCTTGAATTACTACGTATGGGGCGTAGTTGAAAGGGTTACAAACAAGTTTCGACATCTCAATGTGACGTCATTAAGGATTAAGGATAAGGACGCTATTGAAGCAACATTCGTCGGCATGGACAGCGCCATATTACAACATGCGTGCGAACGCTTCAGACTAAGAATAGAAGTCGTCATTCAAGCTAATGAGGGATATAATATATTGAATAATTGTGCTCTACAGAGCCATTTACATAGCTCTTACAGATCCCCTAAGTGCCATGTAAAAGAATTTTTTGTAATATTTAATTTTTCATTAAAAACATTTTGTTTAAAGAAATTGTTTGATTTGTCCGGATTTTGATGACGCATTCTGTATACAAATTAAAATTTTGTTAAATGTTTTAAATTTTGTTGAATGTTTTTCTGTTTGACATTTCGTTGTGTGACATCGTTTAAGTCAGATGCTCGTTACTTTTGCGAATTTGCTTTAATAACCTATTAAATTAAAAAGACTTTTACTGTACCACAAAATGGACCACATTTTACATTTTTTTCTCGTTGTGTATTATGGGACTTTTAACAGATTTACTAAGGTATATCATCATATTTTTAATTTTTATATGATTAATATTAATTCTTTTTGTATACGGTTACTTTTCCAGAACTTTCTTATGACTTTGTTAATTCTTGATAAAAATGACTCACAGCGTATTACACCGAAAGAGGAAAGAATTTTTTGTTAATTTTAAGAATATTGTAAGATTATGTATTAATTTTTAATTTAGAACGACATTTATATTATTGTATGATGGCATTGAAAATGACTCAATTGGAGTTGAAACGTTTGTTTTATTTTATTGTATTTTAATTGTTTTTGTATTAAGTTTTCTTATCTGAATTATAATTTTTTATTTACGTCATTGGCTCTTTGCCCTTCTTTTATACTACCTTTTGCTTAAAATTTTGTACAACTTTGAAAAAAAAGTAAAGATTTTCACTAGGTAACAGCCGTTTGTTTATGCAAAAAAAATTAATGTTGATTTTTATTTAATTTTTTAGCTTCATCGAGGATGATTGATTATTAGCTAACTAACGAACCCCCTAAAAGAAGTCGATCGGACAAATACTTTTTTCTCAATCGTATATACAAAATTCAAAAAACAGATTTCGAGAAAAATGCGTTTAAAGTTTTCAATTTAATTCTTGAGTACTCGGAGGCTAATTTATCATTTCAGGGACATGCAATAATCTTTCAACTTCTTCATGCAATTTATTTTGAGCAATTTAAGCCATTCTACGAGCTACTCGGACTTCTCTCGTACTATTAGGGAACCGATCCTCACCGATTTTAATGAGCTTTGGATATGTTGTAGAATATAAACAAATATTAGACCCGTATTTTTTTGTTTGTGCTTATCTTGAGGTTTTAGGGAGTGAAACACTCTCTCGAAAAAAAAATCGTTTTTTTTTTAGTGAATATCATCGAAACTATAAGACATAGAAAAAAATTTCCTAAAAGAAAATTGAATGGCTTTAAGAATATTTTAGAATTATGATAAAAACAATTTTTTTTTTAATTATTTATTATATCTGCGCACTGTGCACCGTACATACAAGCGCTGAATTATATCGAATTTCGCTCTAAAATTTTAGGACTTGAAGAGTTACATTATGAATTTATGAAAAAAAAAATCAAATTTTTTTTGATCTTTTAATGTAGGAAACCTCCGTAATTGATTGTATCAAGGATTCAATTATTTAAAATAATTTTTTCTAATTTCTCATTTCTTAATACTTATTTCAATTAAATAATTATATTAGATATTTTATAAAAATATACTTGGAAAGATGTTAAAGTCAAATTTTGTAAATGAAAATTGTGGACCTCGACTCTGTCTAAAGTGTTCTTGTTGGATCATAGCGTAAATCGGTACACTGGAAATTGATACAAAAGTCTTTTGCGTCTTACTTCAAATCATACCGTTTATTGTTTTTGAATTTAGATGATGGCAAAATTCTATATAATGTAATCAAAAGTAATAGTCGTCTTATATAGATGCACATTGTTTTAATTTCTTACAAATATTTCCTGAGATCGTTGCTTAGGCGCGATTCGCAATTTTTATTATGTGTTTATTTATGATCGACATTGAGGGAAAAAAAAGAAATAAATTTTCAAATTCTTAGGTTGATTAAAAATTGTTATGTTAGATTAATCTAAATATTGTCTTTAGATATATTATCCAATATTGTGAAAAAAACTTTCACATTGCTTTATTAATTATTTATATTCTATTATGTATTATTTATATATTATTTGTATTATATTATTATATTAGGTGTAGTAAAAATAATGGATTTCTTTTTACTACACCTAATATTATGAATTGTAATCTGTAATTGCACTTAATGTTAATCATTTTATTTTCATGAATTATATACTGATGCGTACATAATTTGTTGCAGATATTCATTATTATAGTGATAATTGCATGATAAAATAATATAGTTAGGAACTCTATTTTTATAGTTGTTATTGCTAATGTTAATAATAGTAATTATATTTATTGTTTTATATATACAAAATAGTTGAACTCAAAAGTGACTATAATATTATTATAAATAATTATAATATTATTATAGTCT